AGCCATGATGCTGAGCGCCCAGCCGCAGCTCACTCTGGCCGAGCTGAGGCAGAGACTGATCCACTTCTCCGCCAAAGACGTCATCAACGAGGCCTGGTTCCCTGAGGACCAGCGGGTACTGACCCCCAACCTGGTGGCCACACTGCCTCCCAGCGGCCCTGGAGCAGGTACGCAGGATGGCGGGGTGAGCCAAGTCCTGGGCCTCCCTTCTCCCTCGCCTGTGGAAGGAGGATGACAACACCTTAAATTTGGTAACAGAGGAATGAAGCTCTGAAAAGCCTTTGCAAAAGTTTCGTAACATTTTTCCTAAATTTAATTATTTCATTTCTTGAGTGAGAAGCAGTTTCAAGAGCGTCTCACCACTCCAGGTCCCCCTTCCCCAGCCCTCCAGCTGGTCAGGATCTTGGGCACGTGCACCTGGTGTGTTCCAGCCCAACTCAGGACCTGAACTGCGGTCGGCCACGTGGCTTCTGGCACTGCAGCTCGGAAAGTTACTGCGTGCGCCAGCGTGGCTGGGCCTGCAACATGTTTTTATGGAAAAAGTCAGATACATTATTTTAGAAAAATAATTTATTTTCATTTAATTATTATTTTAAAATTTGCTGTAGGGCATATGTACTTGCCAGAAAGAGAGAGAGGGAAAGTGAGAAAGCAAGCCTCCAGGTCCAGGGCTTGAACCGTAGTCAGCCATGTGGGAGCCCAGCCCCCTACCCACCATGCCACTTGCCGGCCCTGAATACATTCTTTAAGCCACCCCCACCAGCAATGAAAGCTCCCTCTGGCACCCCTGGGGGAGGCTCTTCTCCCTACCTCCCGGGGCCCTCCTCACCCCAGGGCCTCCTTGCAGGTGGGCAGCTGCTCTGCAGGACTGTGTGGTCAGCATGCTCGGGGCCTACGCGGACAGCCACCGCCATGGCCAGCTGCGCCCCAGATGAGGAGCTGCTGAGCTGCTCCAGTTTCTCCCGGAGTGGGAAGCGCTGGGGCGAGCGCATCGAGGTGACCTGTCCTCTCCCTGTCTGGCTTCCGGGCCAGATAAGCTCTGAGCCCTCAGTGTGCTGGGCAAGCCCTCCGTCCTCTTGACTCTAGTCCTTCTCCACCGGTGTAAAGGGCTGGGCTGGGACGGGGGTGGGCACCTCTCCTCCCCGGCGGTTGGGTGCCACATTGGGATGGTTGTCCTAGGAGACCTCAGGACAGTGCTGGGTGGAGGGGGTGCCCTGCCAGGGGAAGGACAGGGCAAGAGTCAAGGATTCACTGCCTAAGGACAGCACTCTTGCGGTGCTTCCCTCTTGGATGTTCCATGGTCCCGGGAGTCTGCAAATCTCGTCGGTGCCCAAGGGGAATTGACCTGAAGGCTGTGGGTGATATGCAGATGCCATCTTGCCATGGCATTTTGTTGGTCTCTCGTGTCTCTATTACAAAACCTCTCCCAGTGTCTCTGCAAGAACTTTTTATAATTTATAGAGCTGCCCATTGGCAGAATAGTCAGCTTTGAGTAGGTCTCCATGCCCCCAGAGCAGTGGGAGCAGGGGTTGGCTGGCGCCCCAGCCAAGGACCCCAAAAGGGGCACAAGGAGTGGGACCAGATGTTTGAGTTGATGCCTTCTGGCCTCCTCATCAGGTGTTTCCAAAGTTTTCTCTCTCTCTCTCCTTTTTTTTTTTAATAGAGAGATTTTTGCTATGGGGCAGGTGGGCTCACCAGAGAGACAGAGACAGAAAGAGAGAGAAAGCGAGAAATCAATCCCCAGTGGGAGGGCCACACAGCAATCCCTCCTCCTCCATTCTTCTCTTGGGATTTTAGACATGCACACACATGCACTTGGAGTGATTTTCCAGCCTCTGGGTCCAGGACTTGAATTGTGGTCAGCCATGCGGGAGTCCAGTGCCCTAACTACGCCACCTGCTGGCCCTTCCAAAGCTATTCTTGAAGCAGGTCCTGTTTCTCTCTTGGCTCTCAGGTCCGAGGGGGCAGGCGGGCCTGCCTGGCTCACAATGCCTTTGGGGGTGAGGGCGTCTATGCTGTGGCCAGGTGCTGCTTGCTGCCCCAGGCCAACTGCAGCACCCACACGACTCCAGCAGCCAGGGCCAGCACAGGGACCCACGCCCACTGCCACCATCAGGACCATGTCCTCACAGGTAGGAGGCTGGGCCCCACCCTGGGGAGAGGAGGGGCCCTGTCTCGTTAGGCACCCTGCTGTGCCCCGGCCCTGCCAGGCCTGGTCCTCCCAGGCATGATTATTCAGGTTTGCGCCCGACTGCCCATCGCCACTTGCATGCACTAGGACCCTGGGCATGTGACTTTCCTCTCTTTGGCTTGGCTTCCTCCTCCATGAGAGGGACCGAGGTAGCACCTGTCCCCTTGGTTGTGACGAGGTGGGGAATAGCTAGAGCGTGGAGCATGGTAGGTACTGACCGGGTACAGCTCAGTGCCAGAGAGGCACCCGGGATCATGGCCCTGGGGCTGATCTGAGAGGGGGCCCAACTTGAGTTTGAATTCCTGTTTGGATAGAGCGTGGGAGATCCCAGGAAGGGCTGGGGAGACAGTGGGGAGTCAGCCAGGAATAACTGGCTTGGAGGTTGATTTTTGATCAGGTATGAACTGGGGAGCCATGGAAGGTTCAGGAGGGTGGGAGGCTTGGACCTGGCTCTAGGAAGAGCAGGCCAGATTTGCAATGGACAGCTGGAGCCATCAGGTGGCTGGTGACCTGGTCCAGGGGGAGAGGCTGGAGAGGTTCAGCCTGCCGCGGGCCTGCTCGGCATGGGTCCTGGCATGGTGGGACTCCCAGGGTGTCGCAGCCACTCTCCCCTCTGGGAACAGCCAGCACGTGAGCTAGGGCACATGCCCGTTGGAAGGCACAGAAGCCAGAGAATCTATCTACGAGGCAACCCAGAGTCGCACTCCACTGCGACAGGCACTGTAGCCCAGGAGTGACTCCCCAGGCCACACAGCCAGGACGTGGGGAAGTCTAGTAACCAGGACCCTGATGCGCGCCAAGCACGGGCGATGCCAAGCACCGCTGGGCTCCCGTGTATGTCTTTGCCCCGTTCTCCACATCCCTGTGAGTAGAGGCTGTTCCTCCTCCCACTCACGGATAGAAACCGAGGCTTAGTGTAGCCGAGTAACCACTCACTGAGGTTTCGTGGCCTGTGATGTGTCTGACCCCCAGAGGCATGGAAGCAGTCCCTAGGGCCCCAACAGGCTTCAAGTGCACCCCATAACTTCTGCCTGGCGTCTGGATGGGGAGAGGCCTGGGAGAGTTGAGCACCTCTGGTTTCAGAGCCCTTGCTCTGCAGCTCGCCATCGCGGTATGGTGAGGACACGCTTACTCAGGCTCAGAGAGGTTGAACGGCTCTCTGCAGGTCACACAGCAGGTCAGCAGCATGGCTGAAGCGGGACTCCAGGACCTGTTGGCTCAGGCCAGCATCTCTTCTACCTCGGGTTGTTTCTGGGTTTCCCAGGCTCTTTCCAGACCCTCAAGGGAGAGGGCTCAGTGGGGGTGGAAGTGGAGGGCCCCCAGCCTTTCAGGGTCTGAGCTGGCTCTCTACCCCAGGCTGCAGCTCCCACTGGGAGGCCAAGGGCCCCAGCACCCATGGGCAGCCTGCACCAAGACCACGAGGCCCGCCGGGTCACTGTGTGGGCCACCAAGAGGCCACTGTCCACGCATCCTGCTGCCACGCGCCAGGTCTGGAGTGCAAAGTCAAGGAGCACGGGGCCCCAGGCCCAGCAGAGCAGGTGAGGAGGCGTGTAGTCGGGATGGATGTGTGGTGCCCCGTGGGGTGGCGTGTCTGTCCTGTATAGCTTTCCTGTGTCTGCCTTAGTGCCACCCTATACCGTCACGCAGCGGGGTCAGCTCACCACTGTGTGTCCTGTGGCTGCGTGCCTGCCTCAGCCTGTTTGCTTTTGTCTAGATGAGTGAGGTTTGCCATGAGTGAGGGCACCCTCTCCCCTTTGCATGCATAGGTGCAACACACACGGCTATGCATTTCATCACTTTCAGGTTGCTATAGGGCATGTGTGCTTGCCGGGAGAGAGAGGGGGGGGAGAGGGAGAGGGAGAGGAGAGAGAGAGGGGGAGAGGAGAGAGAGAGAGAGAGAGAGAGAGAGAGAGAGATAGAGATAGATAGAGATAGATAGATCACCCCCCAGGGGGATGGCTACACTGCAATCCCTTTTCCTCCTTTCTCCTCCGGGGATTTTGGGCATGCACGCACACCTGGAATGGTTTTTAAGCCTCTGGGTCTGGGACTTGAACCATGCAGCTTGTCATGTGGGATCCAGCCACCTTAACCTCCACACTACCTGCTGGCCCAGAGCCCACTCTTAGGTGAACTCAGAGTAGGTTTCCAAAAAAGCAAGCAGGACTGGTGAGTGTGACTTACCAGGGGATGGCTCCAGGACAGGGTGGTCTCAGTCCACTTGCTCAGCCACACTGAGGCTGCCACGTGCCCACACTGCTCCAGGGGCTGTGACACAAACCTGGCCCATGTCCCTGATCTCCCCTGCTGGAGCATCCTTCCTAGTGAGGGAGAAGGCCTGCATGACCTAAATAAGTAGATCACGGGAAAGCTGCTACGGAGACGGGCAAAGGAGGAGAGGGAGCGTGTTCAAGGCCTGAGCAGGTGGAGAAACGAGCTGTGAGGACACCGTGGGGAGCAACTGTTCCAGGCAGAGGAAAGCTAGGCCAGGGGAGACTCAGAGAGGGACCAGAGCCACGTCAAGAGGGTCCTTATGCCTGAGTGGGCTGGAGCCATGCGGGGTTCTGAGCCTGAGGGTGTGCGATCTGACCTGGTTTTGACAGTCATTCCAGGACACTGAGCTGAGAAGACTGCAAAGGACAGAGCAGGCCCAGGGGTTAGAGGGTCTCAGGTGGTAGGGAGAGGGGGTCGGATCCTGAGACCTGAGGGAGGAGCCCTCAGATCTGGTGGATGGGTGTAGACGAGGAGTGGGGTGGCCCCAAGATCCTTGTTGAGCTACTGGACAGATAAACGTTGCCACTGAGTGAGAAGAGGAACACTGGGGGACAGGGTTGTTCTGGTGGGCTGCACACCTGTCTGCCCCAGGACCGTGAAGGTGCAGGAGTGGGTTTGGTCTGTGACGGAGTGAGAACTGTGGACAGGAGGTGCATGGTGGTCCTCGAGAGAGCTGGGAGCGATAGTGGCCACACTTCAGCTGGGAAGTCATGGCCCATGCTGGGCTGGACACAAGCCTCCTTTTCCTCCCCGGGCTCTGGCAGGTCACCGTGGCCTGTGAGGAGGGCTGGACCCTGACTGGCTGCAGTGGCCTCCCGGGGGCCTCCCACATCCTGGGGGCCTACGCTGTGGACAACACATGTGTGGTGAGGAGCCAGGATGGCGGTGCAGCAGGCAGGAGCAGCGAGGAGGCCATGGTAGCTGTTGCCATCTGCTGCCGGAGCCAGCCCAGGGCACAGGCCCCCCAGGAACTCCAGTGACAGCCCCATTGCAGCAGTGCCTGGGCCGAGGGGGCAGAGCTCTACCTTCCTGGGGCTGCGGGTGTGGGCCCTGCGGGTTGGGGTGGCTCTTGCCTAAGAGCATTGATCTCGCACCCTGGGTCATGCCTCCCTTACTGAGGGGCCTGGGTCGGAGGTTTGACCATTAACATGGGCCAGGCTGTGCTCGGCTCCTGCGGCAGCTCCCAGTGTGCCAACACTGGGCAGAGTTCCCTATTGCCAAGATCCTGCCGGGGCTGGGCATGCAGTCCTTCAGCAAGGAGGCAGATTGTCCCCATGGGCTGGTGACAGAGAACTGAGGGAAGCGGGAAGGGGCCAAGTGTGAGCCAGATGGGACGAGGTTGGTGCTAATGGCCTCTCACCTCCTGTTCACTCTGAATTCCCTGCGGGCTCTCCAGTTGGTGATAGGTTTAACACACTCTGGGGCAGGGGCAGGGGCAGGGGCAGGGGCAGGGTGAGGCAAGATCCTGCCAGAGGCTGGAGGAAAGTCCCAGGCGG